ATGTTTTTCTATACGGCACCGCCACCACCGCGACCACCACCACCATCACCATCACCATCCCCGCGACCTTTTAAACCCGTCGAAGACATCGGATCCGATTGATTTATTCCCTTTTGTAAAGAAGAAGAAGAAGATGAAGATGAAGAAGAAGTTAAATAAGATTAATGGCGTGTTGAATTTAATATTATTATAATTTCGACAGGTATATCGATCGATATATTTCGATATATATATATACAGGAAATGTCATTTCGGAAAAGAAATGACAACGGATGTGTTGTTTGTTGTTTGTTTCGGGTTCCAACGCGGGGGACCACGAATGGACAAAAAAAAAGGAGTTTTTCGCTCTCTGGAAAACGTTGTTTGTTCTAAACAATGAATTATAAATGGGATTAATTATCGTTAAATTACCATTAAAACATTGTCCGACGATTAATAATGATAATAATTATTATTATTATTATCATAACAAGGTTCGAGATTTTACCGCGTCGATGACCCGAATCGAAAGTTGGATGTGGGTACGTACATACGTATTTACCACTTGATACATTGTTAAATAAATGTTTATAGGAATGAATACCGCGTGAGATCTCTTCTTCTCTCCTCCCCCTCTTCCCCACGCCCCCCCCCTCCACGAGGTGTATTTAAGTCTTTTAGTTCGTACCTGAGTCGTTAGATTGCTTCACCATTTTCGGATTCAATCATTTGTTGAGATGGATGGGTGGATGGATGGATGGATGGATGGTGCGAGTGCGAAGATAAATTTTTCTAACTCGTGTTTATTCCTTCGTTTTTTTTTTTTTTTTTTTTTTTTTTCCGGGATTATTGTAAAGGAAAACACGGGGAATAATTATACATGTCCGGTCAACCAATTGAAACGCGACACGTCATATAAATAATAATAATAATAATAAGTTTTCTCGCGGGTCAAACGAAAGGAGAGAAGAAAAAAAAGACACTTTGGTATTATTCTCACGACGTTGTGCATGACTTATGGCCGTGGCCGTATAATAATAATAATAATAATAACGGGAAAAAGATCAAAATTCACGCTTTCTCTCGACATTCAATTACCCCCCGACGCAAACGTTTCTTTCTCCCCTCTCCCCTCACTCTCTCTCTCTCGTGCAAGTTTTGCTACACACCCATTTCTGAGGGAATTTTTTTTTTTGAGAGAGAGAAAAATCTGTCGCCCGGAAAGAAAGAACAAACGAACGAACGTGAAAATCCTCAATTACGAGAATAATATTTTTTTTTTTTTTTTGGCGTTCTTTAGTGTTAAATTATAGACTGCAGACGAAAAATAATAATGATAATAATAATAATAATAATAGACGCCCCGAAAAAAAAGGAAAAAAAATGACCGGCTACTACTACTACTACTACTTGTTAGTCGATTTCAATTTTTTTTTTTTTTTTTTTTTTTTTTTTTTACAACACATCGTCATCGTGACTCCGTGGTAAAAAAAAAATTATTATTATTATTATTATTTTTACTTAAGGTATGGAAATACCTGAATGTAAAAAAAAAAAAAAAAAAAAATTTTAATAATTTATTATTATTATTATTATTTTCTTTCTTTTTTTTTTTTTTTTTTTTTTTTACTGCTAATGAGAAAAAAAATTTTTTTTTTTTCTCTCTTTTTTCCGGCTTTTAATTTTTTTATTTAGTTTGAATTACATAAATTTAATTTTTTTAAAAGTAGAAAGTTTTTATTATTATTATTATTATTATCATCATTATCATTATCATTATTTTTATTTTATTTTAATATGAAAAACGTAGAGTTTATTAAATATATTTTATTATTATTATTATTATTATTATTATTATTATTATTAATTGAAAGCTAATATGGAGAAGAGGAGGGGCAAAAAAAAAAAAAAAGAAAATTCGATCGCGACTTTTTTTCGTTTTTTTTTTCTTCTCAAGTTGGCAAAACTGAAATGAATCTTAGTGTGATTGTTTGTGTTGGTAACACTGCTGTTTTTGTTTTGTTTTTGCAAAGTAAAATATCTCTAAAAGATTTTTGAATAAAAAAAAGGAAAAAGTAACGGGAATATTTTGTGACTTGTTTGTGAGGGTGTGGATAAGAAGGAAAAATTATTATTATTATTATTATTATTATTATTATTATTATTATTATTATTATTATTATCATCATTTCCTTCCCCCCCTGGTTTCTCTCGTGTAATTATCATCATCGATTAAGTAATCGAAAAAAAAAAAAAACGATTTAAAACCGTGAAATTTTCACTCGGACGGACAAACGGATGAACAAACGTAAAATATTTGAGGTGTGACAAGATGATTAGTTAAAAAAAAAGGAAAATATCGAATAATCGTAATGAAAAATTGTACGAAAGGAAAACTATCGCTTTTCCGGAAAATTGTCTTCCGGTTTTCCCTCTTCGTGATTGTTTACTAATAATAATAATAATATTTATTATCTCGCATAATTTTTTTTAATTCGTTATTAAAAAATTAATTTTTTTTTTATTTTAAAGAGAGAAAGTCTTATATATATATATGTGAATTATGTCGTTTGTTGTTTGTCGTTTGTTGTGGTTGTTTAGTAAAATATCTTTAATAAATACAATGGTAAAAGCTATTATAATAATAATAACAACAACACCTTTTAAAAAAAAAAAAAAAAAAAAAAAGTGAAACGGTTGTTTAAAAAAAAAGAAAAGAGTAAATTACTCATGTCCTCAAGATATTTTTTATTTACGGGTTTAAAATTATTTTTACGAACGAATTAAAAATGTGTAATTAAAATAAATGGAGAATGAATGAATGAATGAATGAATGAATTGTAATTTTTCCTTTTCGGAATTTTCCACGCGTCGTCGTTCCGGGGAAAACAAATGTTGGAAAACAAACTTTTATTTCTTGGATTTTTTATTATTGTTTATCTCCCGAAAATTGGATCGGTGTAATGTTGGCAATAGTGAATCGGGAAATTTACGCGGGAGGGAGGGGCGGGAGGAGGAGAAGGGAAGAGAGAGAGAGAGTTATATAAGTTATTTTTTCTTTAATTTATTAATGCCCCAAACGGTGTAATTATTTATATACATATTTATTAATTATTATTAAAGGTGTGGAGAAAATGGGAAAAATTTGCGTGGGAATAAAAGATGGGAGGAGGAGGAGGAGGAGGAAGTTGGTTTTGGTATGATACCCGCGAGCGATGCCGCGAGTCTTCCTGCGTTTCCCTCCCCTCCCTTTTCTTTTCCTTCTCTCTTTTTTCTGCCAGTCAGAATGGTTTTTCGCAAAATATATTTTTAAAAAAAATTTTTTTTATATTGCAGGTGAATACATATTAAAAGATGATCTCGTCGATAACCTTAACATCAAAGATGAAATTGCGAAGGATTTGGGGCTCAAAGACGAGATAACGTCAGCTCTTGATCAACACGAAGACGACGCGAAATCCGGTTTGGAAAATAATTCCAACGGTTCCAACGGTGATTTTTTGAACGGGGAAACGGGAGATTTCGACGTCGGAGTAGGAGGAGGAGGAGGAGTAGGGGTAGGAGAAGGAGAAGTAGGGATTTCCGAAGAAACCGATTTGATACGTAAATTTTCCGATGAGGATGCGAGCGGAAGTCAAGTTCCAACCGTTTCTCTCGAAGAAGCTTTGCAATTAGTCGGTTTGGATGTAAGTAAATCGATACATTATTATTATTATTATTATCTTCATTATCATTATCATCATTATTATTATTGTTATAAAATAAATTGATCGGGAAACAAGTTAATATAAGATTCGTGTCTTTTACAAAAAAGAATTGAAATGATTAGGGTTAAATCATGTTATAAAAACGATGATGATGATGATGATATTTGGTTAATTATGAGGGCTGCTACCATCATTACAACGCGTTATTCATATTAATAATGATAATGATAATAATAATAATTCGTTAAAGTTTGTCAATAGGAAAGTAAAAAAAAAAAAAACGAGCGAGAAAGAGAGAGAAAACGATTAATAATAATAAATTTTAATTTTATATTATTTCATAACAGCAAAATTTCTCCTATTCGAGAAGGTGTTAGAAAGAGAGAGAGAGAGAGGGGGGAGAAGGGGGAAAGAGTGCGTTCAGAAAAAGATAGATGCATACTCGAAACTTTTTTTTGTTTTTTTTTTTTTCGTGAGCAAAATGTTACCTAATGAGAAATTAAAAAAAAAAAAAAAAAAAATATGTTTGTAGTTATCATTATTATTTTTACAAAAAGGAAACAAAAAATAATAATAATGATAATAATGATAATAAATACAATGGTCATTATTTTCACATTACGCGCAAAAACAAATCCAATCACGTGATAATAATTTTCTTGTCTCTCTCTCTGTTTTTCTCGCTCTCTTACATTAATTTATTTTTATTGGCAGATTGTTTGTTTGTCTTTTACGTAAAAAAAATTTATATAAAACAAACGAAATTGATTGTTGTTGTTGTTGTCGTTGTTGTCGTCGTCATTATTATTATGATTGTTTGAATTATTAGAAAAGTCTCTTCGATAAAAAATCCAGGAGCGAAAAAACAGAGAGTTCGAATTATTGGCGTGACTGTTTGTTGTTTTTACGCACGATTACGTTTGCCACGGTTTTCAACCAATGAAAAAAAAGACATATTTTCAGTTAGGGGTTGTTAGCGAAAGAGGGTAAAATTAGAAAGAGATAGATAGAAAGAGAGAGAGAGAGAGAGAGAGAGAGAGAAAGAAACTCAAAAAAGAAAGACTTAGAAAAGAGAAAAAAAGAGAGACTCAAAAAAATAAATATTTTTAATTTTTTTTTTTTTTTTGTTTTGAATTTTCAGGATTTAGAAAAATTTAAGCAACAGTTGAAAGGTTTGGGTGATGATCCAGGGGGATCATCAGAAATTGATGAAGAAGAGGAAGAAGATTTATTATTTAACGAAATGATACAAACAGCGCAATTTCACACGCCGCAATCCCCGCATTCTCGTTCCGGATTTCCGGTGAGTTTTCTATTTTTTTTTTTTCTTTTACCGGTTTTTTTTTATTATGTACGACTTACGTGGATTCTGCACAAAAAAAAAGGAAAAGACGAACAACTCAGCACATTTTTTTTCGTTTGTTTCGTTTGTTTGTTTGTTTTGGTCAAAATCAATTACGGTTAATTTTTTTTGTATCGTAATCGAAGGAAAACGATGACGGAAAAGTTTGAAAAATCCGACGCGTACGAACAAAATTTTGATTGGAATTATTATTTAAAAAAGGTAGATGAAAAGGTTATAGGTTTTATTTTTTTTCCTCTTTCTCTTCTTCCCCACTCCCTCACCCCCAAAAAAAAAACAGGAGAGGTTTGTTTGTTTTTATTTCCGTTTTATTGAATTTAACGTATTTGATTTTACGTGTCGTGTCGTTTCCCACTACTTAATAATTAAGACGTGGCCAACCGTAATTTTTTTTTTAGGCGGAGTTTGTGACACGTCACCAAAGTTTGTTTGGTGACACTTTCACACACGTTATGTTTTATTGAGGGGAGGTGGGGGTGGGGGTGGGGGTACGTTCCGTTTTTAATTTTTTTCAAATTGATCTCGATATTTTTTTTTTTTTTTACGTACCTGAAATTTTTCGATATTAGGTCGTTACAAGATCTCGGTTAAAAAAAAATTAAATTGTTTGTGTTTGTTGTGTATTTGGGCTTTGGTGAAAGCGACAATAATAATAATAATAATAATAATAATAATAATAATCAAAACGAATGCGAATGTGTTGGAAAAGGAAAGAGAATGGATTTTAATAAATGGTATTGTGAAAACTCTCGAATTTTTTTTTTTTTTTTGCTTTGCTTTGTTTGCGAACCCATTGAACGATTTCAATAGGAAACGTCAAAAAAAAATTTTTTTTTTTTTTTTTTTTCGATGTAATTCTCCTGTCAGATTTAATTAGGAGGTCAAAGATTTTAATTGATTTGTAAATTGAGTAGTAAAGTTAGCAGAAGGAAAAGAAAAAACCAAATGAGATTGAAGGGATTTATTATTATTATTATTTATTTATTTATTTTGTTTTTTTTTTTTAAATCGCGTTTGTTTATTGACGTATTTGCGTGGCTGTTTTGCGTTTTTTTTTTTTTTTTGTATTTTTTGACTTTTATTATCATTATCATTATTATTATTATTATTATTATTATTATTATTATTATTATTATTATTATTTTATTCTCTCTCTGAGATTTTGATTTGAATCCCCAACTCATAACAATTCCACATTTGTGTTTCCATGCGAAATTGCGTTACCAAAAAAAAAAAAAAAAGAAAAAAAAAAATCAATTGTTGTTGCCATTAGAGACGCCATTATTATTATTATTATTATTCTTTATTAAAAAGAATTTTTCTTTTTTTTTTTCTTTCTTTCTTTCTTTCTTTTTTTTTCTTTTCTTTCTTTCTTTTCACATTCGACAGATCATAACGGTAAAAAAAAAAAAAAAAAAAAATTATTTTTATTTTTTTTTTTTCGTTGAAATTTTTTACCCACGTAAAACTTTTTATTTTTTGAAACATTTTAAATGGGTGAAAGCACGCGGCGTGTGTTTGTTTGTTGTGGTTGTTCGTTTGTTTGTTTGTTTATATCACGAAAAACGAACGTTTTCTCATTTTAGAATGATGAAAACGAGTTGAGAAAACTTTTCAAATCTCGAATTATTTCCCTGAAATTTTTATTTTATTATTATTTTTATTAAGAAAACCCTGATTGATATGATCATCATCATCATCATCATCATGGTTGCATTGAAAAGGGAATGGAATTGTTTGATGATGATGATGATGAGGAGGGGCGTTCGCGATACGTTCGAACTTGAATTTTACTTTTATAAAATGAGGGGATTAAATTTCTCTCCAAAAATAAAAAATGGCGGCGGCAAATTTTCGATTGGGAAGAAATGGATCCCCGTGATGGCTACCTTATATCATTTTTTCATTCTTTCTGTTCGGGTCTTTAAAGCGGTTGTTGTTTGTTTTATGCGTTTGAAAATGTATACGAGAGGCGGGGAGAGGGTAGGCTATGGGGGGGTTTAATATATATATTTACATGTCGTAAACGAGAGAGAGAGAGAGTCTCGTATAATTTTTTTTTTTTTTTATTCGTTCGAAACAATTAAGGTTGGAAACTTCTTTTGAAAATGGAATAATAATAATAATAATATTCACGTGCGCGAGAGAGAAAAGTTGTAAATTTTCATGGGAGGATGATGAGGAGGAAGGGGAGGAGTAGGAAGAGGATGTGCGGGGAACCTGTGCCACACATTTTTTCCTCTCGTTCATCGCAATCTCCGATTTTTTTTTTTTTTTTTTTATTATAATCGACTCCTGTCAGGTTTTTCCTCGGGTCAATATGGTATATGAATCCTTGTATATGTCGTTGCCCTCCCTCCCCACTTCTCCCTCTTCTCCCTCTCTCCTCTTTTTCAACTCTCAGAATGCCGACTCTTTCTCTTTAGAGACGGAGAAATAAAGGTAAAATTTACTACCGGTAATAAACAAACCCCCAGAACTATTAAAAATTATTATTATTATTATTATTATTATTATTATTATTATTATTATTATTATTATTATACGGTTTTTCTTTTTTATTTATACCGGGGGGGGAGTGGGGGAAAGTTTATAGAGGGTTATTTGATGATGATAATAATAATAATTTATATTTTTCGTTTGTCGATTTTTTTTTGCATAATTTCGTAGAGGATAATAGATAATCGAGTGTAAATGAAATTTTCTCTCTCTCTCTCTCTGTGTGTGTGTTTACCGGCAAATCAAAACATTTTCTTTGCCTTTTCTTTTCTTTTCTTTCAGGTATATTAATTACTTACTTGGTAAAATCGTAAAAGTTATTGTCGAGTTGTTTTTTGTTTTAAAACCTGAATCCGTAAATTTTTCACGTTCGTATCTTTTGTCGCAAAAGATCACGTGGTATCATTTATATAATTTTAACATCCGTAATTTTTTTTTGTGGTTGTTGTTGTTGTTGTTGTTGTATGTCATCTTCGTTCGATTCTGTTTTTTCCCTATAAAACGATTAGAAAATTATTTGTTTGTATTTTGAACGATGTTGCCCATTCGTTTTGATTTTTAGGTACTGAAAATGGCGGAATCGATTTAAAAAAAATAAAAAAAGGAAAAATGATAATAATAATAATAATAGTAAAATGGTGTGAGAACGCTCACGGGTGTGAAAGTTTTTAGCGGTCATTTAAAAAAAAAAAAAAAAAAAAAAAAAAGAAAAAATTGGCCAAGAAGTTCTAGTTTACTAGAGGTAAATGCCCCAAAACTACCGTATTTAATTAAAAAAAAAAAAAAAAGAACTGGCGTGAAAGTTAAATAAATATAAATTGGCAGAAATATTATTATTATTATTATTATTATTATTAACCGGGTCCAATTATCGGCAAATTAAACAATTATTATTATTATTATTTTTACTAGATTATCATTATTGTTGTTGCGTAAAAAAAAAAAAAATAATAATACGAGATGGGATGGATTACCAAGTACGAAAAGTAAATGCAAAATAATAATAATAATAACGTTTGTCGTTGTTGGTTTTTTCGTAGGGGAAAGAGGTGAGGTGAGGGAAGGGGATAGGGAGGGAAGGGAAACATAAAATGGTGCAGTAGTTTTTTTTTTGAAATGAAATTATTTATTTATTTATTTTTTTTTTTTTTTTGTCGGTACGTTATAACCCGATTACGGAATTATTTAATCTCTCTCTTTCTCTCTCTCTCTCTCTTTTTTTTTTTTTTGTTATTTTAACAAAGCCTGTAATTATATGTTAGCTGGGGCGTGTATTTGTGTATTTACATATTCGTATTCACGGGACATTGATTTTCCTTTCGAACAAAGAAAACAAAAAAACACAGATGGACGTGTCAAGTAAATTACAACAATTTATTCCAACATGGCTCCTCCTTCGAATTTTTTTTTTTTTTTTTGTTTAATGCTCCCCTATTTTTTCTCTCTCTCTCTCTCTCTCTCTCTCTCTCTCTCTCTCTCTCTCTTTCTCCCCTCTCCCCTCTTTTCCCCTCCTCCCCCTCCCTTCCCTCGTTCGTTCACGGTTGTGTAATCTAGTTTTTTAATTTTTTTTTTATTTCTGTAAAATGGTTCAGCCGCGGGAAAAAAAGAATTCGTTTTTTTTTTTTTTTTTTTTTCACCAATTCAAGATGGCCGAAAACGATGATTTTATTGGACGAGCAACAAAACTTTTTTATGGTAATAATAATAATAATAATAATAATAGGTTCGAAACTTGAACCTGTTATTGATCATCGTGGGATTTTATTAAAGCGTAAAAAAAAATAAAATAAAATAAAGGAAAAAAAAGGAAAAGAAAAATGAGCCGTCGGACTCGTTGAAATCATATTTAAAATATGGTTTTCTTAGCGTATGAATGCGTGCCTCTTTTCCTTTCTTTTCTTTCGAATTTTTTTGTTTTCGAACCAAAAAATATAACGAAACAGTAGAAATAATTATTATCATCATCATCGTGAATTTCGTGGGGGGGGGAGGGGGAAAAATGAATCGTAACGAATTTAATTTCAATTTTTTTTTTTTTTTTTTTTTTTTTTACACCGAGAATGTTCGTCACGAGTATATATATATTTAACCCGTTTTAATACGATTAGCTTCGGATCGATGACGTTTAATTGATTTTTAATATTATTATTATTATCATTATTATTATTATTATTATTATTATTATTATCATTATCATTATTAATTATTGATAGAATTTTATACGGAGGGAAAAAGTTGCGAAATTATCAAAAACGTGGCGTTATCATTAAGAGAGCAACAACAAAAGGAACCCGATAATTCGATCGTTTTAAAAAAAAGTCACGTGATGGGGGGCGACGCGCGCGCGCGCTTTTTTTTTTGAATTTTATTGATTTTAAAAAATAAATTTTAATGGTTTATATATATATATATATATATATATATATATAATTTTTTTGGGGGGAAATTTTAGTTGTATTTTCGTTAAGTCCGCGATTTTCTCTCTCCCTCTCTTCCTTCGTCTTCCTCTCTCTCTCTCTTTGTCCGTTTGTATCTTTCCGTCTTTCTCTATTAGATTACAACTACTATTTCATCGTGGATCTTTCGTTTTCGTAAACACACAAATTATTAGATTTCCCATCGATTAATTTTTAAAAATTAATTTAATTTT